AAAATATGTGTCGTCTGAACTATAATGCGATTTTAAAATATAAAGTTTTATTAGTATTAGTTTTACTTTTTCTGCAAGCATGTGCGACGTACGTTAAATATCTGCAGAGATAGAGACCTTCGCACTATTTGCCATTTTTACCCCGTAACAGCTCACATTCTACAACTCTTCTTACATGATAAAATTAAAAATGATACAGTACAAAGATGAGAAAGGTACAAAAAAATATAATTTAAAAAAGAAAGAAAAAGACACTAGATTAATTTCTAGTAATATATTTGGTTTATTCATTGTCTATAGCAATCATTGAAAGGGCATAGGAACAGATTCATTGAAAGGGCATAGGAACAGATGCCAGATAGAATTTCAATTTTATGGATTCTGAATTTTAGATTCAAGTGTTAATAATTGAATTCTAAATTTTATATTTATATATATTTAATAAATTTCTTGATACTAATACATTGTTCGAGCAAAAACTACTAGGTTCGTCTAAATCCGTAACCGGACTTCTTGATCAGCCCCTGCATAGGGATTAGGGACAGGAAACAGTACTAGCTAATTTTGTGTACGTAGCAGTAGGATAAGCAACTTGTACAATTTTCTTGACTAGTCTCAGGCCTAAATTTATTTAATTTCAACATTTATCTGAAGATATTCCATTCTATTTCTCTTTGTCATTTTGCTTTGAATTCAATCCTTCCGACGTTATAGTCATGGCAAGAATAAGATATTTTTTGTCATCACTCATTTAATATATCGCAAAATAACGAATTAATTTATGCTATATACGCCATGTTTGTTGTAATCATGAGTTGATTCATAAATTTCGATTGCCAATAATAATATCATAACTCTTATTGGGACAACTTATTATTTTTATTCTGTCCTTTGCTTATACTAAAAACGTTCTTTGTGTCAAGGGAATTTAAAAGTTTATAATTTTATCTTTTTGTGCAGTTAATGTACGAAAGCATGAAAACGAGGATAGAAAATGTGGTTGAGAGGGGAAAGGTGGAGGAAGATTATATTAACAACGAGGAAGAACGTCAAATTTTTAGCAAATATTGGACTGCTGGATTTACTCGCCATAACCATCCCTCTATTATTCAGGTTCGTCATACAGTTAGATCTCTCTATAACAACATCCCTATATAACAACATTTCACTATAAAAGTCAAGCTTTTCCGTAACCAATTCTTATGTTATGTTATAATATATGTTCTCTGTAACAACACTTCGCTATAACATCCAAAAATATTCGGAACAAACGACGTTGTTATAGAGAAGTTTGTTGTATATCAATTTTCTGTTTGTCTAAAAAAAATCATCTTGCTACAGAGTCGGAGCAAATTGCAAATCAAGCAAATCTCTTATATATGTAGCGATTTGGTGATAAAATATCGATGAGTTTAAGATTTTAAGCCAGTGGATGTAATTGCACTACAATTACTACTACCTTCTGACAACTGGAGCAAATTTCGTGCAAATATATATTCTTTAAAGTTTTGAATTAAAATATAGTGAGTCTATTACTTAAATGGTCACTCAACTATTTAAAATTATCTCGTAAAGGTCACTCAACTAAATATCTCAAACTTTTGAATGTCAAATACCTCTTTTCCCTCTAAATTATCAACTTTTATCTTCTTTTTTTTTTAATATTATGAATTTTTCTCTTTTTAATTAATATTATGGACTTACTTATAGAATAAATAAATTTTATTTAAAATTAAATTTAAAAAATATTTTTCTAGCATATATAATGTCAGAATAATAATATAATTGAGCTAATTATCAAGAGTATATAATGTATATTATAAAAATACCTTTAATTTAAATAATTATTTTCTATAGTACGTGCATGGAATATATATTTTAAAACTTTTATTTTCTTTCATTCTCAATTGTGTAAATAAATTTTTGAGTTTTTGTTGTTAATATCAAAATTATTATTACGAAAAAATTATTCTAATTAACTTTCAACTATGCTCAATATTTTATTATTCCAATATTATATATGCTTAAATACTATTTTTATTTTTTTAATTTGTAAATAAAATTTATTTATTCTAAGGTAAGGCCATAATATAAATGAAAAAGAGAAAAAAAAAATTTAATCTTAAAAAGATAAAAAAACAAACAATAAACGTTGATAATTTAGAGGGTAAAATAAGTATTTTGCCCTTTTGAGTGCTATATGTATAGTTAAGTGACTTTGCTGTTAAAAATAAAAAAAATGACTTTACTAGATAATTTCAGATAGTCAGTAATGTACTCTAAATATAGTTAGATGAAAATATAGTGGGTGCATCTACATCAAATTTGACAGATTTGTTCTCGAAAAATAAGAAGCTTGATTAATTTGATAATGTCATCTATTCGTTTTTCCGTGTAATAAAAATATTGTCGCAGGTTTTATTGGAAAGTGGCAAAGACAGAGACATAACAGGTGATGAGATGCCAAATCTTATTTATCTTTCAAGAGAGAAAAGCAAAAACTCCCCTCACTATTTTAAAGCAGGTGCCCTCAACGCTTTGGTAAGTAAGATCTCGTCAAATATTAGTCTAAATAATTTTTACAAAATCAACATGGTTTGATCGGCTACAATAAGTTATTATAATCTTTTCTTGATTATATACTTGCGCTTATATTACATGTAACTCGCGTTTAAATAACCTGATTGTGTAAAATTTTGTTTTTAGCTTCGAGTATCGGGAATTATGACCAATGCACCAATAGTTTTGACACTGGATTGTGACATGTACTCTAATGATCCATCAACACCTAAACGGGCTTTATGCTATTTTTTGGACCAAACATTACGGCCCAATTTAGCCTACGTCCAGTTTCCTCAACGATTTCATGGGCTTAACGACGCAGATATTTATGGTAGTGAAATAAAAGGCCTTTTTCATACTAATCCACTGGGTATGGATGGTCTACATGGGCCCAATTATGTTGGAACTGGATGCTTTTTCCGTCGCCGGGCTTTCTTTGGGAATCCATCTTTGTTCGAGAAACCCGAAATTCCAGAATTATTCCCGGATCATGATGTGAATAAGCCCATTCAGGCCCATGAAGTTTTACAGCTAGCCCATCAAGTAGCAAGTTGCAACTATGAGAATGAAAGTAATTGGGGTTCCAAGGTGAGCTTTTATACCGAATATTACCTTGATAAATTCTTGGTGTAACATTTTAAGTCAGTAAATATAGAATATACCTGCATTAATAACTTTTTTCCTGGCAATAGGTTCGAACTCGCCACGAGATCTTTTATATATATATATATATATATATATATATGTGGCAAGTTCGAACGAACTCCATCAGTTCGAACTTGCCATACATATTAGATCTTGTTGCCACGATAAAGTTGTCAGTGCCGTAGCAACAAGTGCATAAGTAAGTGAATGTGGAGTATAACTGCAACAACAATTTTTTCGTGGAAATCATTCGAAAAATATGTCTCTCTCTCTCTCTCTATATATATTCTCCTTGCGACGAGCGGACATATTCAAAATTAGGCCAAACTACAAAATTGGCCGGTCGACGGAAACTAATTGCATTTGCTAGACAAAAAAAGTATAAAATATGTATATAACATACATATATATTTTATCGGCTATTTTTTTTTGGAGCAGCTAAGAATATGCATTTCCCTCAAAATTCTGCAGATGGGCTTTAGGTATGGATCACTAGTGGAGGATTACTACACAGGTTATAGACTTCAATGTGAAGGTTGGAAATCAGTGTTTTGCAATCCTAAAAGGCCTGCATTTTTAGGAGATGTACCTATTTCTCTCCATGATGTGATCAGCCAAAACAAGAGGTGGTCTGTGGGTCTACTTGAAGTTGCTTTCTCAAAATATAGCCCATTAACTTTCGGTGTTCGGTCCATGGGCTTTGTTATGGCCCATTGTTATGCTCACTATGCATTTTGGCCCATTTGGTCATTACCAATTGCCATATATGCCTTCATTCCTCAACTTACTCTCCTCAATGGGGTTCCCATCTTTCCAAAGGTATGCACCAATTTAAGTTATGTACAAAATATAGCAAGCAAAAACACATAGTGATTAGTAAAATTAGTTCTTGATATATTACATAGTGTCTTTCGTATCCCTAGACTTATGTTATTACTTGTTACTGCCTTTGTTTCGATTTTCCGATTGCATTCCTTAGTGTTAGTTTTGTATTTTCGCTTCAGTTGTCAGATTAGTTTGCTTGTTATTGCCCCTCTCTTTTTCCTTTCTGAGCCGAGGATCTATCGGAAACAACCTTTTTTCCTTCTTAAAGGCAGGGGTAAGATTTGCGTACACTCTATTCTCTCCACACCCCACTTGTGGGACTACACTGATTATATTGTTGTTCCTTATAGATATGACATATGATTATCTAAAATCGCATTTTTTTAAAATATTGGCCGCAGGTTTCAGATCCATGGTTTTTCTTGTACGTTTTTTTATTTCTTGGAGCGTACGGGCAAGATTGCTTGATTTTTATGTCCGCTCAAGGGACATGGAAAAGGTGGTGGAATGATCAAAGAATATGGATGATAAGGGGATTAACATCTTTTCTATTTGGAACTATTGAGTATGTAACTAAACACTTAGGCATGACTACACAAGGGTTCAGTTTGACAAGCAAAGTAGTAGATGATGACCAAGGTAAAAGGTATCATCAAGGAGTTTTCGAGTTTGGGGTTGTTTCGCCTATGTTCGTAACCTTAGCAACAACAACAATAATCAATTTAGTAGCTTTTCTCAAAGCATTAATAGATATTTTCAAGGGTGATCAAAGCTTGGATGCTCTCTATATCCAACTGTTTATTAGTGCTTTTGTAGTAATAAATTGTTTGCCAATTTATGAAGCTATGGTTTTGAGAGCTGATAAAGGAAGGATGCCTACAAAGGTCACTATTATCTCCACATTTCTTGTTGGTATTCTCTATATAGTATTTTCTTTTATTCTAAGAAATGTGTAACAATTGAAAAGATTTTTTTTTTAAGTTTGGACTTTTAGCTATTGTATTCACAAGCTTAGCAATAGAGTATCTACAAAGAATTAATGTTCTTGTAGTCTTATTACTTCGGTTTTGTTGACTAAGACAATATTAGATTAGTTGAAATTTCAGAAATAAAAGGATCATTGAGATCTCATAGAATGCATATTGTTGTATTTCTTTATATTATATTGTATTTGAATCAGCTATGTTGTTGAAACCTAAATTGTTCAGGAATTGATTTTTGCTAGTTTCTTTAATTAATGCGTAAATAGGTTTTGCAGTCAATTACAAAACTAGTTGGAGTGCGACAAGCTGAGCCCGTAGCACATCTACTAACCCCTTCTTTTTGCGACATCTCAAAGGCCTACCAAAGTACGAAAGCCAGAATTTTTCAGAAGCCGAGTTTCTATTCAAAAAGTACATAGACACATAGATTGCATAGCCAAACAAAAATAAGTGTTGCTACTATTTCCACATAAATAAATTTTGTTGAGCTTTTACCAAGTCATTCTAGAAAGAAAAAAAAACACAAGTTCAAAATGATGTTGTTTTGAGGCCCTGCTATAAACAAATAAAAACAAGTTTGATTGCCGCTCTTACTAGTGGTTATTATTGTCGTCTGCACAAAATTCTGGATCCGTCACTGTGGATGAACTAGCTTCAAGTTTCGCTCCAAACTTCTCCAATCTATCATTTTCTTCATCTAAATCTCGAACTAAAGCATGATTAACAGTTCCATCATCTTCACTAGCATGGATTTGCCTACCAGCAAACCATCGTCCGTTCATCGCTTCAATACACCTATGAGCATCCCTTCGATCCTTAAATTTAACCAAAACACCTTAAATTTAACCAAAACACCCCCTTGTGGGTGATTTTCGCACACCTAATCCCACGGGACCAAACTTTGTACACTCCTCTCGAACGTCTTCCTTTATCTCAGAACATAAATTCTCATCCTCTCGCAATTCAACTGGTGTGAACATATAGCGAAGCACAACAATAGCTGAAATCGGTATCTCTATATCATCGCGACCACCCCAACTAAGCATTCTTTGTTCAACTTTATGTAGTTTCTTCTTCTTGTTCTTGTCAACTTCCTTTGGTACGAACTTTTCCCCTTTCTGCTTAAACTCTGCGCGAGCAACTTTCATTGGAATTTTTTCACCTAGCCGTAAAGGCATACCATCTAAAATTTTAATGGCTAAATCAACTGAAGGATCTTTAAGATATGTAACAAGTGCATCGCCTTTCTTTTTTCCAGTTTCTTTGTCGAAATAAATCTTCACTCTAGGGTTTTGTGTTACTGGATCTTCCTTTATAATACCGCACTTTGAAAAAACTTCAACTATTTCGTCAACAGTTACATCTTCTGGTAATCCTGTAATATAGACCATGAGTATTGATTTTTAATTCGAACCAACTATTTGGAGGTTTATTCGCTTACTTTTTTTCTGAATTTGTTTCGTCCAGTTTTCTCTTGCCCTTGTTGTCCATATTGTTGTAGGAATAAAATTATGAATTTCGCATAGAAAATAGGTAGGAACACCTCTATTTATAATAGTGTAAACCTACTTAGACTAGAATTAGGAAATTAAATTTGACTACAAATCCTAGTTAGACATGAATTAGAGAAACTAGCAAATATTAAATTCTAAGTTACTATTTTGAATTATTCAAAAAGGTCTACCTATATTTTGGAGATTTTCGTAAAAGTAACCGACTCATTCTAGAAAGATCTACTACAAATTTCATTACCTGCGATTGGATTATTGATTCCAGGGTTAATACGCACACGACATAATTAATTCAATATTTCAATCCCTGAAGTTCATGTCAAAACGAAAAATTGATTTTCCGACAAACTTTTTTTCCAATTTCAATTTCCAATATTCTTTTTCTTTCGCTTAAAAAAAAAAAAGACCGACTGTCATATGTTTTACCAAAACAAAACAAAAACAAATTGTCATATGTAATGTCATATCTTATACTGTATAATACTATGTAACACTTTTGTGTCCTTTTTTTTTCTTCTTTTTACTGAGAAGTAAGTAAAAGCATGATTTTGCAAAGTTCCATCTAATAATCAGATTCTGATGTGTATAAAATCGTATCCCCTAAACTTCTCTGCTAATCTATCATTCCTGAACTCCCAATGCTAAATATACAATTCCAGAAATGCAGCAAAATTAGGCCTTAATACTGATAACAAGAGCTTCTACATGTGAATAATCTCTTTCACTATTTTCAGCAGTGCCAGAGGATGAACTAGCACTAGAAAATTCTTCAATTATCACCACATGCTGCTCTTCTCTGCTAATATTGGCTGTTCTATCGCGTTGTTCACTTTCCTCTTCAATATCTAATCTGACTTGATTGTTATGTTCAAGATTAGAAGCTGGCTGCTGTGGAGGTTGTGGATTTTGTCTTGAAATAATATGCCATCTACAGAGAGGACAAGAGAAATTCGAACGAAGCCAATGGCGTATGCATTCGACATGGAAAATGTGTTTACAAGAAGGTAACTGATGCAACTCTTCTTTGATCTCAAATTCTCCCAAGCAAACACAACACCTATAACAAATTACCTCATAATTGTAAGTAATATATTGACAATATTGCCTTAAATTTACCCTTAGAACTTGAAATGCTCACTGTAGTATGTTCAAATATTGAAATCTTTGAACCACATGAAAGGGCAGCCCGGTGCTATGTGCAGGGTCAGGAAAAGGGTCGGACCACAAGGATCTATTGTACGCAGCCTTATCATACATTATTGCAAGAGGCTATTTTCACGGCTCGAACTCGTGACCTCCTGATCACATAGAGACAACTTTTCCAATTACGCCAAGGCTCCCCTTCAAATCCTTGAACCACATGGATTAGCTAAATCATTATCAGAATCCAGGCACCCTTTTATCCGTAACTTTTGGCAGGATTTAGTTACTTTGTCTATGTTCAAAAATTATAGTCCTCAACTAAGATATGAAGTAATTAAAAAGTTATAAGGTCTTGTCAAAAGTTTAAGGGTGAAATGGAACTCTTGAATAAAAATAGGGCAGCCGGTACACTCAGCTTCCGCTATGCATGGAATCTGGGGAAGAATCGGACCACAAAGATCTATTGTACGTAGCCTTACTCTGCATTTCTATAAGAGACTGTTTTCACGGCTCAAACGCGTGACCAGGACATCCTGGTCATATAACAACAACTTTACCAGCTACGCCAAGACTCCCATTCAAACTTTTGAATTAAAAATGGCCAGTCCGGTGCACTAAGCTCCCGCTATGTGCCGGAGCCGAAAAAAGGCCGGACCACAAAGGTCTACTGTACGCAGCCTTACTCTGCATTTCTGCAAAAGGCTGTTTTCACGGCTCGAACCCGTGACCTCCTGATCACATGGCAACAACTTTACCGGTTACTCCAAGGCTCCCGTCAAACTCTTGAATTAGACCTGTCAAGTTTTTTGTATAAAGACTATGATTTGCCCAGTAGCATTAACAAAAGTTAACTTACTGGGAATCCCTCATCATTGAATCTTCATCAAATAATATTACAGGAAGCTTGTTCTTGAGCATCCCCTTTATATCTACCTCACCCTGCAAAATAAGAAAACTATTAGCAAACTACCAATTTTTTAGTTTGTATACTATGGTTCTTGAAATATTATGAAATTTAAACATAGACTAATCAGCCAGGAGATATTTACTGACATGAATAATAGCATGAGTTGAACTCCTTGTAAGTGTTAGAGCAGGGGAATTAGAACCAGTAGAAGCCCTTCTTTTAAGATAAAACAAGTAAAACAAAAGAAACAAGATTATAGAAAAAAGTATTGGGATTGAGAAGATGAAAGCTTGATAAAGTTTAAGTTGAAGTGCTTGAGGATATAAGTGAGGTGGACTAGGAGATTCAGGGCTCCCCATTGAACAATAAACTCTTAAAACTCAGTTTGTTAAAAGGTTTAATGAGAAAGATTATAAGGCTATAAGCTAACATATACAAACATTATACAGCTTTATATATAGGGCAGCTCGGTGCACAAGGCATCCCGTATTCATATAGGGTCGGAAAATGGCCGCACCCTAAACTTTATATATACAAACAAAGATCAAAAACATTGTATCAGGAAAATATGAAAAAGGTTAAAAAGGTAAGTTTATTTTGGATTTTAATTGAGATTTGATAAGGACAGTAGCAATAATGCTTAGGAGACTGCTAAAATGTGAAGTGCTTTTGGAGATCAAGTAAGTGATCAACATAACATGATTACTTTATTTACACTTTTTCAATGATGTGACTTGCTCATAACTTGCCACTGAGATTTTATACATATAAAAAGAAAACGAAAAGGCAATAATTCCAGGTCCCTCAGCCCACTCTTTCATCTTCATCTTATTAGCATAGGATTCAATCATAGTTTTCTCTTTGGAATAACATCTGAAAACTATACATAGGTTATAGGAAAAAGTCACAATTTACTATTCTACTATACAAAATATCTTAAGTTTATCGTCGTCATATTTTAGGACAATTCATATTCTTGCCGTTAGCCAATCATCTCGTATTTGATGTTCTTAACTTTAACGGAGTTCTAACGTGGATTGGGTGGTTCAACATGTCAAATTAATTCAGGAAAATGGTCCAAATTTACACTCTACTTTTGACTATGGGTCTAAAGTTAACCTTTGTTATACTTCATGTGTAACTTTGTTAGGCTCAAGTACAAATACGAGATGATTTGCTAACAATAAGGGTATATAAATTCTTATAACGGAGCGTAAAATTAAGATATATTTAGGATAGAAAAGAGGTACACTAGATTCCCATAACCACAAGTTTATGTATCATGATCTCAAGGTTTGATAATCAATCAACCTCAAAAGATTGTCATCAAAAGTGGTGAGCGCTGATCAGATAAGCCTAACTTACCTTTTAGTTATTACCTTGTCATGTAATGAAAACCAGTAGTGCAACTGTTTATTGGGGCAATTTTGCTGAAACCTAACTTCTAGATATTTCTCAGTCTCTATTTTACGTTTCAAAATCTCATTTGCGCTCGAAGGTAAAAGTCATTCTTGATTTTAGTAAAGACAGATGATTTTCTGATATTAGGGGTAATTTCTTTACATCTTTTTTTAGTTATTGGTGTCCGGACAACTTGGGCGTGCATTCCATCGAGTACTTGTTTCCTACTGTTTACCCGAAAAATCGGATAATGTTGAATTTATATATGGTTCTAAGGGTAAGTAGATTCCTTTGATCTGAAGATAACAATACACGTATTTATGACGCAAAATAGAAAATGATGAACAAAGATACTTAGTGAGCTTTAGAAAGATAAATACAATGAATTCTTAATCCCAGGGAAGGTCTCTTCTATTACAATCTATCTTGCCTTTTATAGCCAAGGATCACTACTTTATCTATAGCAACATAATGGAATAATATTACTAGTGGAGGACCCATGATGGTGTGTCTCCTCCTTAATTCCCGCCAAGATTCTCTCCTTTGGTGCGGTTGTAACAGCCTTTTGTCTGTGAGCTCGATACCGACTCGAACTCGGTGTCGGATCGGAACCTCGGCCTTGGTTTCGAGCTTGATGATTACTTTCGGGCATCGATGTTCGGGACCTGTATCGGTCGATGTTACCTCGGTCGATTCGGACGCCCCGAGCTCGACGCCCCCATCTCGGAATTCGTTCGGGTTCTCCATGAAGATACCCCTTGACTGAGATGCCATCCTCGATCGATCTTCATGATCGAGGATCGATTTTAACCGTATACACCTACCATCGGCACATGTACCAAATAACTCTCTCACTAAGATTTAGACGGGTGAAAGCAAATCATTAGTGATAATTCTTTTATATAATCTAAAACATTTGGAATTTATTCTGTTTGACATCCACAAAATGAGTGATTCTTCCACATACTACACTCAAAAGTGTTGAACATAAATGAGCCTTTTCTTATATATGGAAATAAATAACAATTTAGTACAAGTGTCCCCTGCAACATGCATTTATACATATGCACCTATCACTGCAGGTTGATTCCATAAAAGGGTCCCATCCATAAACTTGGAAATGCCATATCACATTTGCACTCTCAACCACCAAGGCAAGGTATATTCTCAAAAAAATAAATCAATTAACTAGGATTTAATCTTAAATTAGATGGAGTATGTAACCATTCTACTCTATTCATGTTAATTTGAGAACATTTATTACAACTGTACTACTTTGATGAGTACAAGGAATGACTGACCAACCTTGAGCTTAAGCTGACCGAGATTGTATCGGCATTGCACAGGGAAATTGAAGCCCTAAAGCAACAACTGCAGGCAGCAAGGTTCGCTGGTGGCACTGGAATACTCTTTTTTATGTCACCTTGGAGTTGACAATGCTTCTTCAATAACTGTGTCGGTGGAGGTAATATGTACTCAATGGAATAGTTAATGTACGCAAAACATTTTCACTAACAATATCATTATTCAAAAAGAAAAAA